CTCTTTCATAATTGCAAATTACCTTAAATCTTCTTTGTTAAGTTTTACAAAAATACTCTAAAGACTTTGACAAAATACAGTAACAATGGATATTACACAAAATATTTACTGTTATTAGTCTTTCTAGTTAGTTGGTTTTGCTAAAGAAGTCAAACTAACATAACAATATATAAGAAATGTGACCAAGTCATAATTCAAACTAAGCTAAGCCTTAAGCTCAAGACCTCTAATTAGCATATGATAGAAGCATTAATCAAATACTATCTTGGGTTTAGCTCAAAGTAAAGCTTTGTTAAAAATCATATGATGCCTCTGGAATTCAAGTAATAGGAAGTTTGATCATTATAACTTGCAGATTTCTTCTTCTCCTTATTTCTCTTATATAAAAAGTCTTGTATTTAACTTTTAATAAAAGGCAGTTATTATATTAATAAAAGAAGAATCATTGTTACTCTAAGTTGAGTTTCACAGAAGTTTAATACTATTCTACACAATATATCTGAAACAAGCCTTACCTTGCTAAATCTAATTTGCCTCTATAATCATTTTAGATGCTATTGTTGCTTGTGTTTTAGTTAGTTAGTATTGACTAGTTTTACCTCTAACAATTTTAGTAGTAACTATGAGATATGCAATACCAAATAATAGGATAACAAAATTCATACCTCCTCACAATAAAAAGAAATAAATAAATAAAAAAAGAAAGCAAAAAAGAAAGATAAGAATTAAAAAAAAAAAAAGGAATAGAAATAGATAAGATTTAGTAGAGTTTCAATCTATAATCTATTTATTCATTTATCCATTAGATATCCATATCCAAATTTATCCAGATATCTATTTACTATTAATAGCTAGATAATTATCTAGATATCTGTTAGATTATCTAGATATCAATAGTAAATAGATATCCGAATAAATTTGAATATAGATGAATGGATAACAGATTTATCTAAATTGAAACTCTAAGATTTAGAGTTACTTTAGACCAATGAATCAAGTCTAAAAGAATTAAAGAAAAAGGTTACATCACCTTAGCTGAAGTACTCCACTTAAAAAATAGAAAGAAAAAAAAGAAATAATTAAAAAAAAATAAAAAATTTATCATGAAATACCTACTTATATACTAAGACAAGAAAAAACCTAAAAAAAGATCTAGTACTCTGTATAAGAGTTAGAACAAAGGTGCAATATGCTTCTTGCAACTTTTAATTTAAAGCAAATTGATAAAATCCAAGAAGGCAACTATGAAGTTTTTAGAGACCTTGACTTTGACAATGAACGAATCTCTGAAGTCCTAGAATTCATGTTAGAAGAGTTAGAAGAAGCTATATTAAAAAAAAAAGATGCATAAGAAATTGTGTACTTAACTTCATACTTCTAATTGTTTACTGCTCCAAAAGAAAAGGAAAGTTTACCACTAGTAGTACCTGCTTTAAAGACTCGTCTAATAAAGCCCTCTCAAAAAACTATAATGATAACTGAGGTTATTACTATCTATTTTAAAGTTTTGCATAACCAGAATAAAGAAAAAAAAAGCTAAAAAGCTTGAAGAAGTCAATTTGAAAGGACTTCTCTAGGAATTAATAATTGAATACGATACTATTATGAAGAACTGGTCACTCTGAAAAGTTGCTAAAATTGGATATAAAAAGAAAAATAATAATGAAACAATTGTTGTTAAAGATAACATATTTGGAGTCTGAAGGATTAAAGATCTAACAAATAGGCTTAATAGTAAAAAAGATAAAGATTCAGTGCCTGATCTCTAAAAAGCCTTCAAAAATTGAAAAAAAAAGTTAGAAAATTTATAAAAAAACTAAAGAAAAACTGAGAAAAAAAGAGCTGTATCTAGTCAACTAGAAGAACTTGATCAAGCTACTGCTTGTAATAAAGTTGAAATGTTGAAAAAACCCATAGAGGAAGTTAAAAATCACAAGTTTTCAATGAAGGACCTAAAATTAAAGAAGTTTGGTTAAATACTCTGAATAAAATCCAAATTCTAATTGAAATAATGATGAAATAGAACCTTCAATATTTGCCTAACAAAAATAACCTTTGAGTATTTAACCTCAGAGGAGTTTGCCCTAAAACAAAAACTGAACTTGGATTCTGTAAATAAAATAATAATAATAATAATAATAATAAAAATCAATTGAATAATATTGATATATATAATATAAGAATAAACACAAATTCTTTAATAACTTTTAATCTACTAGTTCAAATTAGATAAACACATACTATTAGAATTAGCTGACTGAGATAGTTCTAATAAGCCAAGAGTTATCAAAATTCAATTACTAGATCTTGAGATAATTAAGATTCAGCTTTTTATTATAATCTATGCAATCTAATTGGCTGAGCAACTACTGCATAAGATTCATTTCATGTACCATATCTATTACCTACAGTTTTTGAGACACTTTTATTACTTATCATATATATAGCATATATACTATTTATTATATATTTTATACATGTATTAGTTAAATTATATATTTTATTAGTGATAGTTGTAGCATATATAGCTTATGTAATATATATAGCCTGTTACATTTCTAATATTTTGTAAAGTATAAAAGTAGCACATATGAACCTTGATTTCATTATCGAGTCTTCATACTCTTTCACAGTTAAAGTACCTTTCTGATACTTTGAAATAAATATTTATTGATATCTTTATATATCTTTAATTGTTACTTCTTTCATAATTGCAAATTACCCTAAATCTTCTTTGTTAAATTTTACAAAAATAATCTAAAGACTTTGACAAAATACAGTAACTAGGATGTTATTCAAAGTATTTTCTGTTATTAGTCTCTCTAGTTAGTTGTTCTCTTTAAAGAAGTAGAAGCAATATAACAAATTAGTGATAACTATAAGATACTTTCTCAAACTTTACAAGTATAAAGGAAAAATCTAAAGATAAGTTTATTTGAAAAAATACCAGTTGTTACAAAGACAAGTCAATTAATTTTTATCTGATTGAGCTAAAATTTTGAGAATATACTTAAAAAACAATTCTGCAACTTTTCTACTAAGCTTATCTTAGTATTTAAACCTCTCTAAACCCTTCAAAAAGCCCTTCTAGAACTCTTTCTCCAAGTAATAACAAGAGAAATTCTCAATTTGAATGCCTAAAAGAGGTATTAACACATCCAAGATACTAGTACATATTGAAAACACACTTATTCTCAAGGCCTTAACATATAAAAAGTATTTAGAACAAGAATTAGAAAAACTTGTTGACTCAACTGAACAAGAGGACAGAACCTTCTTTTTCTCTCTTAAAACTTTGAAAACAGCTAACTTGTATTATACTCAGCTTAGACAAATACAGGCTTTTGAATTTTAAAAGTCTTCTTTATTCTTTCTTCTCTTCTTATTAGTTCCTTATGAGTTAAAGTATAGACATAAGGAACAATTTTATTAGTTAATTAGTATATAAATACATATACTCAACTTGTTTATTTAAATACCAAACATAACAAAGCTCATATAATTGCTAAAAATTCTATAGTATTTAGAAGATATTTATATAAACACTTATCTAATTACTTCTGTATTCTTTGTTATACTATTCTTAACACTCCAACTGCTAAATTTAATTACTTTTAGAATTGGTTTTCTACTAAATAATTTGCTTCTCAATTCACTGATATAATATTCTTATTATTTAATTATTATAAATACTATATGCAAAATAACTTCCCCTTTAAACATTTCTTAAAAGTAGTTC